TTTGGGCGGCGCCCCCCCCCCCCCTCCGCACACGCACAAGCGCTTTTGTGGAAAGGCTTCTGACAGCTCTCCTGCCGAATGGTACACAAAAAATACCGCATCGTTTGTTCCTAGTGGGTCTGGATTGTACGTGAATGTGACGAATTAAAAGCATACCATAAATGAAATAGAGGCAACTGTTTGGCGGTGGCAACCGATGACATATATTTCACTCTTTGACTTCGCGGATCATTTTTAAATGTTCTGGTTTTAGCGTCACCTGCAGAGAACCCCTTGCTGAAGAATGGCTTCTAGCTGCAAGAGCATGTTGAACGTTTGGCTCTAAACCTACAATCATGCACCAGCACTCTTTCAAAACAACAGCTTTGAAGTGGCAAACACTTCGAGCCATGGCTTATCATCCTTTTCTTTCTTTGAATCATGCCGGATAGGCGCTTCTCATAAATGCTTTTCGACACGTCCATGTCAATCGCACAGTTTCATATGGATTCACAGTTATATGTTTTTATTCTCTCCCTACTAAGTGGGAGGGTGACGCACTCTTACCCCGTCCCGAAGTTTCTGAGGATATCTCTCTGGAACATGCAATCGCACCGAATGCTTCGTGGTCGTATGGCTATTCAATGTGGGTGTTTTAACACCAGAAACGTTTCTCTTTCAGTTTGATTTCTGAAAGGCGAAGTTTCTGTCGGAATACTGCATGGCGATTCACGGCCAGCGCGGACGGCGGGCGGCAACCGACGGATCCGCCGATGGCGCACGGCGGCCAAAACTGCTACGTCAACAGAGCCATGCATTATAAACGTATGTTCAAAACACATCCAAAATATTTAAGCATATATATATATATATATATATATATATATATATATATATATATATATATATATATATATATATATATATTGGCTTATTGGCGCGGACGGTCGCCCGCCGTCCGCGCTGGTCGTGAATCGCCATGCAGTATTCCGACAAAAACTTCACCTTTCAGAAATCAAACTGAAAGAGAAACGTTTCTGGTGTTAAAACACCCACATTGAATAGCCATACGACCACGAAGCATGCGGCGTGATTGCATGTTCCAGAGAGATATCCTCAGAAATATATATATATATATATATATATATATATATATATATATATATATATATATATACATGGTGGTAGTCAAAATCAAACAAAAGCAACGTTTCTGTTAAGCTGCATTGTTACGCAAACATGCGTATGCAAAGCTGAAGAACATCGTTTTCAGGAAACATTGACATTTGATCCGTCCTAGAGGGGTAAAATATGGACCAAGAGACATCAAATTGGCATCCAATCCCGAGATTGGTCATTCCGCTGTGGCCAAGATAGTCGGGGTCAATCCGCTGGATTTTTCAGCGGTGTCACATCGACCGCTCCCTATCTTCATTAAAAAAACTGCGAATTTTGGGCGAAGGTGAAACGATGCAATATGATGCGGTATCCGAATACATATTCATATTGTATCGGAATACACCAAATACATCCTTGCTTGCAAATCCCGTTGCACACAAATAAATCGCTTAGCTCATAGAAACCGGTGGTACAGTTCAATCGTAATGAACCAAATGATCAGGCAGCCTTTGTTAGCTGGGAGCACTGGTTCCAGGCCTATTACATTGAGAAGACACAGCGCCCAATCGAATATTGTCAAGAGCTGACTAGCCAATCGCACCACCCAATCACCAATGCCATGGACGGACAATAGCTCTCCACATGCTGAAAGTCTTTACAGGCGGTTGGTAAGTGGAATACTAGCTTCCAAATAAGGAATGATTGCGTTGAGTCGCCCACGTCGGATCATTGACACTAAAGCTGTCGATGAGTTCAAGCATGCCTCTCGGAGTCTGTGTTTTTTAACACCAAGCAGCTGAAAGAAACTGCATCTGATTAGTTGCGTGCAACCTCTGGAAACTCCGACCAAGGTTATAGAAGAGATTATTTAGCGGCGTGCTCGGTACCGCCGGCCCACCCTGGCCACCCGGTCAGGGGGCCGGTCATGCGAGACCCCCACTCGCCGCTGCCGAGACCCCAGCGGGCGACCGGTCAGCGGGACACTCGTAATTCCAGGGGAGCTCCAAACGGGAGCAACGGTCCATCAACTGGTGAAACGTAAAAAGAGGGATCACTCCATGCCCTTAGCGCACAAACTTCCGGCACGGGGCACTCCAACTGCCTCAAGTGACATGACAGTGAATCGGTCAGTGGTGACGTGAGCAAAGTTCGCCCACGCGCAGTCCATGCGGATGAGATCCGTGCCAGCAGTCCCTCTTATTGGTATATGGCATGGTAAAACCGAACTAGGAAGCATACGGTACGAAAGTTACTACACACATAGTCAATGTGATAGCATATGGGCAGCCAACCATATGGGTCCCAGATGGGGCCCAGGCACCAAACCGCTTGCATCTCATGCTGGCATGTGGCCCGCATGCCCACCTGCGGCCCGTTTGGATCTGAGTCTGTGCCACTCACCCTCGTTACAAACTAGCTTGCACACAATAAAAAAATACCCAACCATGGAGAGCGAAGTTCGAAAACTAATGCACTGGTGTAAAAGATACCAGCATATGGTCGGCCCACCTGGGTCCGACATGAAGCCCGAAGACCAGCCCACCTGCAGCCCATGTTGACATGAGCCCGACTTGCCCACATGCATCTCATATGAACCTCAACTTGTGCTGCTCTCTTTTCTTATGCACTCATTTATACACGATAAGGAAAAATCCAACGTAGGGGCACAAGGTAGCAGACCTAATGCATCTGTACCAAATATGGTAGCGTGTGGACAGCCCATCTGGGTCCCAGATGAAGCCCAAATACCAGCCCACCCGCAACCTACATGGACGTGAGCATGGAGTTAGCACATGTAAAATAATCATACACGGTATGGTAAAACCTGAAAACAATAAATACAATTGATGATAAACACCTAGTTGTGTATATGACAACTTTATTGCGTATGTAATATATGGGCAGCCCATCTGGGTCCAACATGAAGCCCAAATACTAGCCCATCTGCGGCCCATGTTGACATGAGCCCAACTTACCCACGTACATCCCATATGAGCCTCAACCCATGCTGTTGTCCTTTGCTATGTACTCATTTGTACATGACAAGGAAAAATCTAACGCAGAAGCACAACATACCAGACATAATGCACCTGCACCAAATATAGTAGCGTATGGGCAGCCTATCTGGGTACCAGATGGAGCCCACATACCAGCCCGCTCACGACCTATATGGCCGTGAGCCCAGCTACACCGTGCTCAGCCCATGTGCAACCCGGTCCAGGCAGCAGCCCCATGTTTTAGAATAACTGTACACGATATGGTAAACCCTGAGTGTGCGACAACTTGATTGCGCATGTAACATATGGGCAGCCCATCTGAGCCCCACATTAAGCCTAGATATCAGCCCACCGGCAGCCCATGTTGACATGAGCCCAGCTTGCCCACATATGGCCCACATGGATCCCACCAATGCAAGCATTCCCTCCTGGTGAGTTATTTCTTCTTGACATGATAAATTCCGGACGGAACAGTACAAGGCAGGAACAGTTCTGGTGCATACACAAATATGAAGCGATGTGGGCGTCCCATGAAGGACCCAGCTGGAGCCCAGTTAAAAGCCCACCTGTAGCCCATACCCACATTAACCCAGTTGCCCCACTTTTAGCCCATGTGGGTCCCATTTGGGAATGCTGGCTGGGAAGAGTTCAGTGCCTGCGTCCAGTGCCTGCTCCCTGGATCCAACCCTGCATGACTTTTATACTGCTTAAGTTAAATACATCCATTATACAAAGATTAAAAAGCATGTATCATTTTAATCAAAGTAAAGCGGGCTAAATGACACCCCTGGCTGAATCCATTCCAGTATGCCTATAGGCCTCGTCACTCGACCGAGGACATCGTACCCGCCGCAGTCGAACGCCTGGTCACCAACACCGACGACGGTCCAGTATGGTAGGAAACAACGATCGATTTGTCAAAGGCGTTCGTCAGCGTCGACCACGACATCCTCACCACCAAGCTGTGCTGGCATGGCGTCGCCGATGTGAATTGGTTTAGGAGCTATTGAATGATGGCGGGTAGGTGGTACATGACGGACGGTTTACTCTCCCCGCGTCAAACGGTGTACTCCAAAACTCGATCATCTGTCCAATCTTGTTTATTTTTACTAACGTTTCATATGGATACTTGATCGATCTTTGCCGCCTCACCTACGCTGACGACACCATGCATGTGGAATGCCCCACCCCTCCCCCCACCTGACGGGCCGGGTCTCGCCGACCCCAAAACCAGGCTGGGACCTACCATGTGTGAACTTCAGAACTGGTTCAGTGTTTATTTCCTCCCATTGAACGAAACAAAAGCTGTTTTTTTTTTGCTCGTTGGATCTAATTCAAATTCTAGAAAGTCAGCGGACGTCCCAATTTTCTTTGCTGACATCCAGAGGTTCAAATGCCCGGAGCCAACACATTCTCAGATGTGGCTTCGCTGCTTTGTTTAACAGCACTGTTAAAACCATTCATTTGATTGGAGCTATCTTAACGTTGAATGGGTGGACCATTTGGAAGTTCAGGAATGATAATACCCTACTGTACAATAAGATGACGCAATCCTGTATTAGTACGCAATTGCATTACGTAATAAAACGGTGAAAAGCGGCCATTATAGCGCATGTCCCCCATGTTTTGATGAAATGGTTGGACCCAGAAAATATCAAATTAATGACGTAAAAATAGTTATTTTAAAATATAAAGTTATTTTAATCATGCTGGGTATATTTTTAGGTAAACATAAATTAGTTGTTGTACAAAATTAGTTTTATAAATCATGTTTAATGTCAGAAAGGAAGTGGGCCTTTCAATAATAGTAAAAACGTCATTTCATTCAGCTATTTGTATCTTGTGTTAGAGGGTATGGCTTGTAAACTTGAAAGACCATGTGACCCTTCCAGAACTTCGCGTGTTACTACGGAGCGCATGAGCCGGTCTGAGGCCGAGGCAAGGGAGGGTTGAATGGCACGTGGTCCATATTAGCCGTATTTGTAAAGCACATTTTAAATATGTCGGCACTTCTCAGATCAGCAAAGTTCTTGCGCTTGTTCAGTGGATTTGCTCGAAATTTCACTGCTGGGTCTGTCAGAAATGACGCGGATAATTTTCTGGGCAACCACAAGACCCAATGGCAAGGGATTGATACAAGGTGAGGGACAACTGCGTGACGTCTCACGTCTGCTTATATGGGTTACATGAATCGCCTATATTGTATGATATTGAAAATTCTTTTTATAATATGTATGGTATTCCATTGTAAGCTTGTTCTAGGAGTTACCAAGAATGGCATGACAGACTGAAAAAGGAATAATTTGGCACTGAGTGTGCTCAGTGTAACTGCAAAATTATTGCAACAAGTTTGGTGCATAGTGCTATTTATCTGAGGGCACATGGATTGGTGCATTGTGACAAGCAGTCTCATCAGTAGACAGTGTTTCAAGGAATTGTGATGTTGTGAAAGTAATTCATGAAAAGTATACTGCAAACATCTTCAAATAAAGACACATGAAAAATTCAGCACAATTTGGGTTGGCCTATGTACAGCACACAGAAACACGAAGTTTAGTGTATTGATCTTGTGTAGATATCTGGTGCTGTGGTTGGATTTTTACAGACTGGCCTTTAGATAGTTTGCATGCCTTCTCCAAGTAGTTCACCTCATCATCTAGAGGAACATAAATCAACACCATGAGCACCCTATGCATCAGATACAAGCAGCTAGCATGAGCACAATTGGGCTGCTTTTACATAGAGTAATAGTAGTGTAATTCTTTATTCTTACTCCAAATAGGCCTATGTGATAAATTTCATGTGGTAAAAAAGCTGGATAAGTTGCCAAGCACATATAGCATGATACAGCTGACATCCTGGCTAGCTGATATATTTTTCAGTACTGTAAGTCTCATGTTCATAATGAGGTGGGGATGGCCTGTGGGGATGCTAATTAAGCATATGATGTACATGCCAAGATGGTGCATCATTCAGACATCCCTGTCTGCCTGTAGAATTCCCACAGGCAGACATGTGCCTGGATCCCAAGGGTGGATCCAGGATCCCCTAGTCTTCTATGTTGATAGTATGATGGGCTTACCAAAATATTTAGTAAAATCATTCATGCTAGCACATTATAGCTGCTGACATGGTACTATGCTAAGGACTGGAGGTAAAGGTATGTGAAGGGTTGATAATGTTTATTATCCTCACTCAAGATGCTGAAAAATGTGATTGTGAATAGTCCCTTCCATGTACCACAGAATAAGTGATTTAATTTGTTCTTAATTTGTAGTTTGCTCTGATGTCAAACCATCCCTGGGTGACCAGAGACTACATGATTTGAGTGTGAGCATTCCATTAAGAGAATTGTAAGGTTATATTATATACATCACATTGTGCATAACTGACATATATTTTGGATTTTGCAAGTGAAGTGGCTGGCTGATGATCAAAGCTGTGATGGATATGATGGCTAGGAGGTTGGGGATGTGGATGGATAGGTTTGCTGACCATTTGGAAAATATTAAAGGCTGTGATGGTACATGGAAAGAAATGTGGCAAAGTGATGTTGAGTCTCTCCCCCCCCCCCCCCCAGCTCTCCATTGCTGTATAATTCCCCTTAACCATGGCCATGGCCCTTGACCAAAGTCAGAATGTGAAACCAAGCATGTATACACTTGGACCTTCCAAATCTTTCAGACAGTGTTCTCTCTGGCTAGGACATGGTCACATGCTCTGCATGCTGCTGCTACAGTGGATTGCCATCTCACTGATCTGCACTGCTGTGTGTTCCAGGACACTGTCAACACAGCCCTCGGCGGCGGCGCTGCAGCTGGATGGCAGCAGCGGCCTGCAGACGCTGGAGAAGGCGCTGCAGAAGCTGGACCTGGACATCCGGCGCACAGGCCGCATCACGCACAGGGACGTCGAGGAGAATCTACGAGGAGGTCAAGGTCACAGGTGCGAGGCACGCGCCGCCGACTGCTCTGCTAACAGCTTGGCTGTTATCACCCCACTGGTGGCTGGTGGAGTGTCAGGGCTCGAAATCGTGGAGCTAGTGGAGCTGGTGGGGTGTCAGTGCTACTTTCACCTTGTAGACACAAACTAGGCGTTTTTCGGCCACGCTGCGGAATACTTTGTAGCGACGTCCGGCGACGTCGGATGATATTTGACACCTTGATGAATTGACGAATGTCTTGTTTTTAATCTTCAGTATGATTCTTGCAACACTTCATAGTGTATGCATGTAGACCAGTTGTTTTTGTGTGATATTACTGCATGTGGTCCCCTGTGACTGGTACCAGCACCATCTATGTCCTCGATGTACCGCCCCGCGCCCCCACACAGCATGCTGCTGCCACACCTCTCTGACGACGCGTCCGTACACGCCCTTCTCCTGCTGCAGGCGCCATCAGCAGCTCACAGAGCCTGCTGCTGATCCGATGCTGCGGTAACCTGGTGGCCGAGGAGCTGCCCGAGCAGCGGACTCATCTGGCGCAGAACATATGGCAGACGCTGCAGTCCATAGGTCAGTGGGCCGGCTACCGGCGCTCGGCTCGGCGGCCAGGACAGGTGGCTCCTGGGTGTGGTGCCGGAGAATCTTATGTAAACTCATGCTGTTTGTAAAATAATTCAGTACAGGAATTTTGCAGTCTTGTGTCATAAAAATGATGAGTTTTAATGTCAGTGATGTTTTCATGGTTTCTTGGTAATGGTAGATGATTTTCAGTTGTGAATATATTTTTTGGCGCGGGCATGTCAGTTGTTCTGAACTTTGAACTGTGAACTGTGTCTGCTGTGACGGACACTCGTACGAGAATTGGGAGTGGTTTTGTCGAGGGTCACGCCCCAGGGTTGTGCCTGCCTGTTGTCCAGGCGTCCCCATGGACATATCGCACTACAACGCCCTGCTGCGGGTGTACCTGGAGAACGAGCACCCGTTCTCGCCCACCGACTTCCTCTCCTACCTGAAGGCACAGGGCATCGAGCCGAACCGGGTCACCTACCAGCGCCTCATCTCCAGGTCAGTGGCCGGCTGTCGGGCGGGAGACAGCCAGCGGCGGGCCAGCAGAGACGAATGGGAACGAGTGTGTAACGGATGTGTTAACGAATGTTAGGGACGAATGTGTTCGTGTGCTGCCCGTTTGGAGCTGGGCAGTTGAAAAAGACAGTTGAGTCGGATAGACAGTTGGACAGGATGGATATATACACAGATACAATCACTCACTCACGCACTTGCTCACTCGCATATCAGGATATCACCTGTGTGGTTATAATGTGTCTCGTTCGTTTCAGGTTTTGCCTGCTGGGTGACATCGAGGGAGCCACCCGAATTCTGGAGCACATGAAGGAAAACGGCCTGGGCATCAACGAGCACGTCTTCAACTCGCTGGTGGTGGGCCACGCGCGGGCAAAGTGAGTCGTTCGCTTTCCTGCCCACTGCTGACAGACCTTGGTGCTCCTTGTAGCAACGGTGTGGCCGGCGCCGCCGCCTCTGCACACAGTCGTGTTTCAGCCGCTGCCTGCGGCGGTGGCGCCGCGCTCGTGCCCGTATCCGAGTCGTTGGGCCGGGCGAATGGCGCGTGTGCGGCGGCGGCGTGACAGGCACACGCGCAGCACTCGGCGGCAGATGCTCGGCCGGTGCAGCCCACTGGGTGGGGCGGGGGGTGACGCGTCCGGCGGCTCCGCTCCGGCCGCCCTGTCCGAACCCGGTGACGGCGGGCCGTGTCGCCGGCGGCCGTCCTGCTCGCGCCGTGTTACCGGCGGCTTCATGGTGTGACGTATGTGACGGGTCCAGGCGGGGCGCGGGGTGCTGAGGTGTGACGGGTCCAGGCGGGGTGCTGGGAGAGAGGGAAGCAACGGTCGATGGCGTTGACTTCATTGTCGGATTGCCATATGTGTCGGGTCATATGTTTGAGGCTTTCTTAACAGCAGCACTATAATTTGTATCTTAGCACTGTCGCACATTTTTCACACAATTTCATTTTTTCACATCACTGTAAATAGCAGAACACGTGACCGAGCGGTCCAGCTGGAGTCAGTGTCGGCCATGGTTTGTGTGGCGCGCGGTACGTGCCCCGTCTCACCAGCACCGCGCGCCGTGCCCGCCAGTGACCTGGAGTCGGCTCAGTCGATGGTGGCCATGATGAAGCGGGCGCACCTGGAGCCGTCGGCCGAGACGTTTCCGCCACCTGGCGTGTGCGCACGCGCAGCGCGGCGACGTGGCCGGCGTGCGGCAGACGCTGGAGCAGGCCGAGCGCGAGGAGGTGCAGCTGTACGACCGCGACCTGCTCGAGGTCGCCTACTAGTCCTCACCGTGTCCGGACACAAGCAGCATCTGGACGAGGTCGGCTAGCGGCCGCCGGTCGTGTGCTGGACGTGCGATGAGGAGGCTTTGCTGTGGGGCCTGGTCAGATTGATTCCGCCAGTGCATTCTCAGTAACGTTTCAGGGGAAGCGTGGGGACTTTTCTGTGCTGTTGTGGCTTCGTGTTTGTGCGAGTTGGATGAAGCGCTGATCCGTAACATTTCTTTTAAGACCATCGCCAGTGTGTGCGGTCCGTGCCGCCGACTGTTCACCAGGCCGTGTCGAGCGGCGGCCGGCGGGCAGTAACCCCTCGGCCCCACCCCTGGCAGGTGCTCTCCGGTCTGAAGAAGTCGCCCGGCTTCAACCAGGAGGCGGTGACGGTGATCCTGCGCCTGGTGAACGCCGGCCACGAGGACGTGGCGTTCAGCATCCTGCGTGGCATGGTGCCGCCGGAGCCGGCCTCTGGCGAGCCGCCCGGCGTCGGCAGCTTCTTCATCCGGCAGATGGTGCGCGCGCGCCGGGTGAGTGCCGCCGCCGCGCGTGAAGAGTAGGGGCGGGGTGAAGGAACGTCGGCCGGCCCGCGGCGGCGGAACTCGTCGATGGCCGTGGAAGCTGGCAGGAAGACGGCCTCGGACCTCCTCCGGATGTTGTCGGGTGATTGGTGTTGGCGGTCAGCCTCCGGGCCGCCAGCCTGGTATGCAGCTGCGTGCCACGGACGCTCCGTCCTCCCCACCGCTGGCGCTCCGTCTTCCCCACCGTTGACGCTCCGTCTTGCCCGCCGCTGACGCTCTGTCTTCCCCACCGTTGGCGCTCCGTCTTCCCCACCGTTGACGCTCCGGCTCCCCCACCGCTGACGCTCTGGCTGTCCCGCCTCTGACGCTCCGGCTCCCCCGCCTCTGGCGCTCCGGCTCCCCGCCGTTGACGCTCCGCCTTCCTCGCCGCTGACGCTCCGTCTTTCCCACCGCCAGCCGCCGGAGGTGATCCTGCACTACTGCACGCAACTGCGCGAGTCGGAGATGAACCAGAAGGCGGTGCTGGTGGCTCTGCACAAGGCGCTGGAGCTGGGAGAACTGGTCACCGCCCAGCACCTGCTGCGCGCCCTGCCCGAGCACGGTTTCGCCCTCCGGCCGCACTACTTCTGGCCGCTGATCATCGCCGCCAGACGCAGCGGCTCGCTGCCAGGTGCGAACGGGCGGCTCGCCGGGCCGGAGGGACGGTGGACGCGCGGCACGACCCGAGAGCTGGATGAACAGGCGACTGCAGTGTGTGGAAATGCATGCTGCAAGGTGATGGTGACGGTCGCAGCGAACCAGCCTCGTGTATGCGTAAGGGTCTTTGTTCCATACGGCATGCACCAGGATTGAAGAAAGCGATGGTCTTTGTGGAGAATACGGTTGACTAGCTGGGTGGCCAGTGTGGATGGTTGCGTGGCCAAGCTTATGACCGACTTCAGCTATCGGGCGTGCCTGGTCAACTGACGGAGTCACCGGCTTACTGGACTTAACATGCGACCTCCCGCAGTTACAGTCAGCGAGGTAATTTGATTTCACCTCGTATGTACATGGCGAGGACTGAGTTGGTGTTGTCGCCGTTTGGAGGCGAGCGTGATTGTCCTCACATCGCCCACGGATGTGAGCGCGCCCGTACGCCCGAGTGATGCGCGCCGGCTGACACCTCGCCGCTGCCGCCCGCAGATCTGATGGGCGTGATGCGTCTGATGCACGACCTGGGCTGCGCGGTGACGATAGAGACGCTGTCGGAGCAGGTGCTGCCCGGCCTGGACGCCACCTTCTCCTGGGACAAGGTGCTGTACGAGCTGAACACGGCCGGCGTGCGGTACGCGCTGGCGGCTCCGGCGCTCGTGCGGCACCTGCTGCAGTCCGATCAGCTGCAGCTGGCCACGGCCGTGGCTGACAGGTGAGGCGGCGCCGAGCGCGGGCCTCGGCCGCAGCACCTTGGCTGCTGCTGTCGGGCGTTATTTGTTCTGCTCGTTAAGCATGTTGTTTCGGACCAGTTGGCGATGGGGAGGGGGCGGGGAAGGGGAAGGGCAGACACCAGTTAGTCTGAGATGGCCACACTGGCAAGACTGCTGAATTGAGGTCGACTTTCAGATGTAAGTCGCGCTGCGTGCTGCTTGCTCCGCCGATGGAACGCCGTCTCTTTGCTATGCTCCGCCACACTGCCCGCTCGCTTGACCTTACCCCGACCCTCGTCGGTCGCCAAGCCCCAGCCGCTCCCATCAGATCTGACCGCCCTCTGGCCGACAGGTACGCGGTGCTGTACAGCCCGTCGGTGCTGCGTCGCCCGCTGGCGGCCGTGTACGCGCGCGGCCGCGACCCGGCCGTGGTGCAGTTGCTGCACCACATGCGCCAGGCCTCGGCCGACCTGAACGTGGCACCGACGGATGTGACGGACGCCTTCCTGACCGAGCTGATGCCGCTGCTGCGGGCGGAGCGCGCGTCCGCTACCGAGGCCCTGCTCGAGGTCAGCGCCGAGTCCGGGCGGTCCTGGGCGCGGCCGACGGCCTAGCTGGCCGACGTCATTTTCGCCCGGCTGGATTGGTGCCGGCTGGTTATCGCGGTGTCTGTTTCTGTGCGATCTTTGTGCTAATAGGTGCGCCTAGGGTAAAGCGTTCGTGGTGTTGAACATGACCAGATTCCGGAATATTGGGCAAAGGAGGACTATGTGATGGGGAATCCGTGTCTTGTCGACTGTGAACGATGCAGGCTTTATGTAAGGGATCCTGTTGAAAATTGGGAGTCATATAGACTGAACTGACCAATGCGCCGCTCGTGAGCAGGTGCATGATCCACCTCTGTGTAATGTGCCCTCTTTGGTGCGATTACCTTCTGAGGTAACCTCTGTCGGGCCACGCGTAATCCGCTGCTGACAGCCTCCCGCTGGTCCCCATTGCCCACTCGCTTCTGCCGTTCTGCCTGACCCGTGTGTGACCTGTGCTGTGACGGCGGTCCATCCGTCTGCTGAGCCCCGACTGAGTGGCGCCGCCGTGACGTCAGGCGATGCTGGGCCGCGGTCTGGGCGTGAGTGCCGCGTGCGCCGAGACGGTGCAGGCGGCGCTGGCCGACGGCTGCACCGACCGCTGCTGCCAGCTGCTGGACCAGCTGAGCCAGCCGGAGCTGCAGCCGACTGGGCCGCCGACGAGCTTCGCCGACCCCACCAGACCGAGGAGGGTGAGTGCCGAGCTCCTCGCCCCTCGCCCCTCGCCCCTCGCCCCTCTTGTTTTCATGTCTGAAGCTAAGCGAGACTTGAGACGGAAGGCGGATATGTCGGCTTTTCATCGGAGGTGTCAGCCGGACCCGTCCGCGTTAGCAGATGGGCTTCCCAGGAGGGCGGCCTCGCGCGCGCGCGCGCTGTGTAATGCGAGAGGGATGGCTGTCGGGGTAAGCCTACTGGTCGGCCCGAGCTGAGCCGCAGGGGGTCAAGCTGCCACTGTGACGAGTCTGGGGTCGACGGACGCGGCCTGTGCTGTCGGTCCGGTCGGTGACGGGCGCGTCAGGTCACTGGCGGGTGGCTGTGCTGTGCTGTGCTGTGGCCGTGCGCGCCGTCACAAGCGCCGCCCCGCCACCGCCGAACGCTGCCCTGACGCGCGCCGCGCTCCGTCGCCAGACGAACGGCGGCGGCCTGTCGGCGTCGCTGGAGAAGGCGGTGGAGCAGGCGCGCGCCGCCGGCGAGCCGGTGCCGCCGGTGCTGTCCCGGCTGCTGTGGGCGTTGATCCGAGAGAAGCGGCTGGACCGCGCCCTGCAAGTCAAGCAGGTGCGTGACGTGCCGACGGAGGGCCACCGGCCGCCGTGTGAGCAGCCACGGTCGGCCCCGGCGCCGGTCTGCGCTACGTTATGCTGTGGTCACTTTGTTCGTAGCACGCGCATGCGCCATTGCAAACAACGTGTCCGCTTATACGCGATTCCGGTTGTGCTAGAATAAGGGTATGCGAGATAGCAAGATGCGTGTGAGTAATAAGTCACGTCCTGGGCTTGTCCGGAAGTCATTAGCCCGTAGGGCTGGTGCGTCCTGAGGTGATCAGTCGAAGGGTACCGGGCTGGGCGGGTGGTATGGCCGGAGCGGTGCACCGTGTTCGCGTCCCAGCGACGACGGCCGGTGTGGGTGTTCCCACTGACTCGGCGCTGTTTGGACGCTGTCACGCCCGCCCGCAGGAGCTGGTCGCGATGGGGGAGGAGCTGACGCTTGCGCACCTGGGCGGCCTCTGCGACGCGCTGACGGACGCCGAGCGGCTGGAGGAGGCCGAGCAGGCCTACCGCGACATCCTGGAGGCGCGGCCGGACGCGCTCAGTGACAGCCGCGTGCTGCGACTGGCGCGGCTCATGGTGCTGCGAGGTCGACTAGACGGTGAGCGGCGGGCCGCCCTCTCGCTCGGGCTGGGCGGAGCTTGCCGCGGGGCTGGCCGGGGTGTGCTGTAGCATGCCGATGGGGGGGGGGGGGGGGGGCGGGAGGGTCCGGTTGTGGCATGTAACCGTCGGTCGCAAGACGGGGTGTCGGTGTGTTTTCCCCGCTATTTATATAAATATGCGGACCGGTGTGTGTTTGTGTGTCTGTGGTTCTGTGTGTGATCTCAGTCGTAAGAGTTTGTGGTGCATTTACCTCATGAACGCAATAACTTGGCACAAATCAGACCCATATTATGTTCGGTGTGCACATGTGCACCTGCAGGTGCGTTGTTGGGTGCGCACACGCACAGTGACATGCGTATGCTGGCCGGTTCATGGTTTATATGCGTCATAAACGCACCTGGACGTCACAACGTAACCGCCTGCTCGCAGACGCGGTGGCGTTCCTGCAGTCGCAGCCGCGCGCCTCGCCCCAGCAGGCCGGCAGCGAGGCGGCGCGCGGCCTGTTCATGGCCAGCTGGCGGCTGCTGGAGGTGCCGGCCAGCCGTGGCGAGCCGGACACGGTGCGCCGGCTGATGACCGTGCTGCTGGAGGACGGCTACGTCGCCGAGCTCAAGCGGCCCCTGCTCGCCATGCCGGTCAAGGCCTACCTCGCCAAGTGAGCGGTCCGCGGCGGCCCCTCGCGGCGCTTCGCCGCTGGATGGGGAGCTGAGCAGCTGGGGCAGGGGAATGGGGGGGTCAAACGCGTCGTGGGCGAATTCCTCCCCCCCCCCCCCCCCCTCCGCACGATGTTATGCCTGTGTTAATGTCGTGGCGTTTGAATGCGAAGCCTCCTTGGAGACGCGAATAGATGAATGCATTCGCTCGGCGTTCCTATAGCGCAGATGTTGACGTTTGATTTTGAGAACCGATCACCCTGGATGGTCTCTGTAGTGGACCAGGTGCGATTGCGCTGGCGTCGCGCTGCTGAAGCTCGAGCCGAAACCAGGCGGCTCACCGTGCCGGGTCGGCGCCGGCTGGTGTCCGCGCCCATCCACCCGGCTCTCAGACTGACGCGGGCGCGTGCCGCGCCGCAGGGGCGACACGGTCGAGGCGGTGAACGAGCTGGAGCGCGTCTTCAAGGAGCACCGCTTGGTGCCCTGGCGGAGCCAGGTGATGGCCCAGCTGATCAAGGAGGAGAACACGGCACAGTAAGCAGGCCGCGCGCGCGAGATGACGGCGGTTGTTCTGCCGGCTGTGGTGCCGTGCCTTGTCCTGTCTGTGCGCGGCTGCGAGCGACTGGGGTCCCAACGAGACCGGGCCACCGGCCGGCGCACGGGCGGCCACGTGTGTGCGTGTCGGCGTGTGTTGGCCCGAGCTAGTGCGGGCGAGGTGCTGCTGACCTGGCGGTACGCTGCCGCCAGGTCAGACCAGCCGATCGTGTCGACTGGGTATGCCGACCTTTCTGGCCGTGTGCTGACCTCTTGCGGCACCCCCTGGCGCAGACTGCAGCGTCTCATGGACCTCACCATGGAGGCCTACGGTGAGATGGACGCGCTCTATGACCTGGCCTTCAGCTTCATCGAGTGCGGCAAGACTCGCCAGGCTAAGAAGGTGCTGGAGACGCCGGGTCTCAGGTGGGTGGCAGGCGGCAGTCGCTTGGGAGGGCACAGGCGCGTGATGCATGCAAGTCCTCGACATTTGCACAGCAAGTCTTCATTGAGGTTGTCATGTCTTAGTTCACGCAGTGCAGGCAAAGCTCGCAAAAGTGGTTAGTGTCGCCTAAACTGTGCTGATTTCCTCAGTGGGTGATATGTTCGCCCGGGGCAGGCTCCTTTCCTTACCGTGGCAGATGATGCGTGCTGCCGCAAACATGCAGATACGACTTTCTTGTCCGTGTGTGTCCGTTTGCTTGGGCTTCTGGGAGCACCTTAGTCTGAACCAGACATTGGGGTGTTAAGCAAGTCCCGTTTGTTTAAACACAATTTCGTTTTGCTGGAAATGAGGAAGGCCCGTGAAATGCAGTTGATTGATGGCGACCGCTAAACCGTGGGGGGTGAGAGGGAGGGAGGGGGAGAGTCGCGTGTAGTCGGCAGGCATCTGCGCCCGAGCTGCCGCGTCCGGCGAGAGCCGAGCTAACGTCGCCGCTGCCGGCAGGGTGCGCCACCAACGGCTGAACCAGACGTGCGAGCGGTACGCGGAGATGGGCCGGGTGGCCGAGCTGGAGAACCTGGTGTCCGTCACGCGGGACGTGTTCGGCCTGGACCGGCTGCGGCTGTACGGCCACTTGTTGCGCGCGCTGTGCGCCGCCGAGCAGCCGGAGCGCGCGCTGGCGCTGTGGACCCAGCTGCAGGAGGAGGAGCTGGCGCCCACCGACGCCATGCTGCACGAGCTGGCCGCCCTGCTGCGCCGCCACGGCCGGCCGGTGCCGTTCGTCGTACCCGAGCCGCCGCCCGGCCAAGAGGCGGTGCCGGCGCAGGCGCAGGGTCGGCCGCCGCCGGTCCGCCCCGCCTCCCAGCAGGTGAGCGGGTGCGGGTCGAGCCGGACGGCAGCCAGTTTAGGTGGACTGAGAGGTCCGGACTGAGGGTAACGCCAACGTCGGGAGCCATTCCGCGGGATGATAGGACTGCTATGGCTGGCTGTGTAGCGTTTTGCTTTGGCACAATGGTGAGGCACGTTTGCCGTCAATTGTGTGGGTATTTTATTTAGAGGGCGATTTTGAGTTCTGCTAAACAATAAGTGCCGCGCCCCAAGTGCGGGTGTGATGCTATGTTGGTGAATGATGTTTCCGCCGTGCTCCCGAAGAGTTACTGTTCTGTGCTGTGTTCTCAGCTAGTACCGTTACTGACGACCTGCACTGTTTTCAGCCGGCCGCTGCCCGTCCTGCTCCCTCCGCCGCCGCGGCAGCCGCCGCCGAAGCTGCTGTCGAGCCGCCAGCAAACTCCATCAAGAGCAAACTGAAACGGGCCATTAAGTCACAGTCGATCGACGAGGCGCTGGAGCATCGGAAACAGTATGTGTTCTCCCGCCAGGTGCTCCGCTCGTCGCCGCCGCTTTGGCGTAATGGCATGCCACCAAACGTTAATGTATCATCCCCCCCCCCCCCACCCCCCACTGGGGCCACAGGGACTTGAAGGAATAAAGGCTTTCGAACCCCAGAGCGGCCTTGTGGACGAGGGCATTTCAACGGTTTCATTGCGCCATGACCTGCCGATTTTGCCGTGACCTCTCGGAAGCGCACAGTATGCGTCCGAGCCGGGCTCTCGATGGGCGCCTGGCCGCGTGCTGCCGCCGCCGCTCCCACTGGCGCTGACGTTATCCGCCTGCGCCTCCAGGATGGAGTCGGAGGGCGTCGAGCCGGCCATCCACGACCTCTCGCTGCTGGTGGAGCTGCTGGTGCGCGCCGACCGCATGACCGAGGCCGTACAGATCACCACCGACATGCTGGCGCGGGCCACCTTCCCGCAGCCTCGCGTGTTCAAGTTCCTGATGTCGCGCCTGTCGGCCGACGGCGACGTGGAGGGTATCACGGCTATCGGCTCCCAGCTCAAGGACGTGAGTAGGCCGACCTGCTGGCAGCCGGCCACCTCAGGTGGGCGCCGTACTGGACATCTTCGACGCCCATTGCGAAGTGACAGGTGGTTTGACGAAGAGCTGTGTGTGGGAAGTGACAGGTGGTTTGACGAAGAGCTGTATGTCGGCCTTCACTTATAAGTGCGGGGTGTCATTTCGCTGCCGATGTTCGCGCTGGTGGCGGTTAGGCGCGGTGCGAGTGTACCAGATCTGTGTGGCGACCACTGACGAGTGTACCAGCTCCAACCACCGGTTACTGGCCGCCGACCACTGATGACTGACTTCTGACCACTGACTGCTGACCACTGACCGCCACGCCGCCAGGACCTGAAATCGGCCACGTCTTACGACAACCGGCTATGCACGGCGTACCTGAACTCGGGCCGTGGCGAGGAGTACCTCGGCCAGATGGAGGAGGCGTGCCGCCGGCTGCCTGAAGGCGGCGCCGGCTACGTGTTCCCGTCGGGCGGCTTCCTGGGCATGCTGCGCGGCTTACCTCAGCTCTATGACAGATGTGAGCGCCCCGACGGCCGATCCGCTGGCACGCTGGTTGTCCCCCCCCCCCCCCCCCCCCAGTGGGACTGTGATTTAGGCGTGAGGCGTTATGCCGATGAGTTGTAATGCAGTCGTTCCACTTGACGTGGATTAGAGCTGAGGTCGGGCCGGGCTAAGCTCCGCCCGCCGCCGGCACCGCCGCGGCCTCCGGCCGGATCGGCCCTCGGGCAGGCCACCGTCGGAGAGACGACTCGTGACGCCGGGTCACGCCAGTCCTCACTGTGGCATCGGGCCAGATGTCACGGCAGCGGCGCGGGGTGTCATGCCGCCGGCGTGTTGGTCCTCGCCGTAGTGACCTGCACTAGGCTTCGGCGTTCCGTGTCAGCGTTTGCCCGTCCTTGCCGTGTTGACCTCCGCTGGGCTACGGTGTTCCGTGTCAGCGTCTGACTGGCCTTCTTCTCTGGGCCGGCGCCTGCAGGCGTACAGCTGGCCGAGGACTTCGCGCAGCGCGGCGTGCCAGGCGCGGCCAACATGCTCTGGGTCGACCACTTCGTCAACGAGCGGTACGACGAGGCGCAGGGCATCTTCGACAAGTTCCTCCGCGACCAGGACGTGGTGCTGTTCAGGTGCGTGTCCGCCTTTTGTGGTGCCCCAGAGCGAACAGTCACGAACAGTCGGTGCTTTGTTTGTTATCGTTGCAGGTTATGATGGATTTTCTTGAGAAAGCGCAGGAGTAGGTCTGCCCATCTTTTTTACGAAGCTCGCGAAATGACGAGTACTACAAACAGGAGGGTGTCGTATAGAGTGCTGTTCGATCATTCAGTTTTTAGCGGTGCCGTTAAGCTGGCGCCGCATCATTACGCCCTTCCCCCCCCCCCGCCCCCAACTCCGTTCCACGCCTATACCTGTATGAAAACCATGCACACATTGCATTGGAGAGGTGATCTTTATTGACAAAACTGACAAGAAATGCCTGATGTAGTTCGGCCAACACATAGCCCACGTATCAAACGAGCTGAGCTCGTTTGCGGCTGGAATGGCACGTCTCCACGCTGCGGTAGTAAAGCGCCACGTAAACCAACGGTGGACACAGCACAACACGGTGGCGGCAGAGCCATAGTGGAGACGGTTCGGGCCGGCACACGGTCTGCGGGACTGACGCGAGCTGCGCCACTCCCTTGGCAGGGGCGTCATCGAGAAGGCCTCGGAGACGGGCAACCTGGAGATGACCAAGCGGCTGCACGAGATGCTGAAGCCGACGCAGATATCCCGGGGTGCCAAGGCCGTCGTCGTGTCGGCAGTGGTCAACCTCTCACGTAAGTGGCCCTCTCCCCACCCCCGCTAGGTGGCACCAGGGACTCAGTCGTGTCGGCAGTGGTCAACCTCGCACGTAAGTGGCTCGCCCCCTCCCCTCTCCCGCTAGATAGCACCAGGGGCTCAGTCGTGTCGGCAGTGGTCAACTTCGCACGTAAGTGGCCCTCTCCCCACCCCCGCTGGGTGGCACCAGGGGCTCAGTCGTATCGGCAGTGGTCAACCTCTCACGTAAGTGGCCCTCTCCCCACCCCGGCTAGGTGGCACCAGGGGCTCAGTCGTGTCGGCAGTGGTCAACCTCGCACGTAAGTGGCCCTCTCCCCACCCCCCGCTAGGTGGCGCCAGGGGCTCAGTCGCGAGAGCAGGCCGGGCCGGGCCGGGCCGGGTGGCTCGGGCGTGGCGCCGCTGCGGCTCCGGGAGGGGAAGTCATCAAGGCCGGCTGCTGGCGCACCATGATAGGCCTGCAGTGTTTCGCACTGCTGTATTGTGCAGCGTTATTGCCTCAGTGCTGCCGTCCGGACGTCTGCTGTTAATCTGCGAGGCTCGTAACACTGCTCCGAGTCAGGATGATGGGATATCTGTTTTATTATCGTGATTGTCCACGCCATTTGGATCCACTCCCGTGTCACATAAAGTCTGTACTGATTTGTTAGAAGTCCGCTATTTTTGTATGTTTTTGTAATCGCTGTGGTCTGCGTATTACATGTGTGTCACAATGTGCAATGTGTTACAGTGTAATGTAATCATGTGTGTTACAATGTAATGTAATCAGTTGTGTTACAATGGAATGTAATCATGTGTGTTACAATGTATTAACTCCGCTGGCTGTGCGGCGTCATCAAAAACGGCTGTCGTTCAATTCGCGATGCCCCCGCAGTGGACAAGGAGAATGTTGGGGAGACAGTGGCGATGCTGAAGGGGAGCGGCTTCCACGTGGAGGAGCTGAAGCGGACGGTGGCAGAGCGTCTGCGGCACGCGGCGGCCGACCACGGCCTCACGTTGCCGCCGCCGCCGCCGGACGCCGCACCCACGGTAGGTGATCTGGCGCTGGCCGCCACGTCTCTCGTACGTGGGCCGGTTTGAGCAGTGGCGTTACGTCTCAGACCATAGGCCGGAAACAAGCATCGACTACTTCAAGCGTGCAAATTCGGCATGGGATGCCAGTGTGTCCTGATAATGCGTGCGGCGGTGACAACTGATGTCGGTCTGTGCCGCCGGTGACCGACGCCCCGTCTACCGCAGAGCCCCGGGCCCGAGCCGCCGGCCCCGGCCCCGGCCCCGGCGTCCTGAGCACCTGCCAGCGTAGCGTTAGCGTAAGAGTGCTAGAGACAGGGAACGCCATTTGGCCGCGGCGGACACTGGGATGAGCTCTGGGAACCATTTCTCCACGTGTAGCTGGTGGATGATTATGTACGCGACTGCAGCATTGTTTCGGTCATGTGGCATTAGTGCAAGTGGTTTTGCACGTGTTGTACGCAACGCTCAATGCTGTTTGCTGCGTTTTCTCGCTAGTCCTCTGGGTGCGCCAGCAGTGCTTCGCTAACTTTGTTGCGGTAATTTTCGCTGGATGTTGCCCGGTTGTCATTTCCGCACGTGCTGTCTTCCGGTAATGGTTCTCCGAGACATGTCTTGACCTGGTCACCAGCACCGTTGTGCAGTTCTGTGTGGTATGCCCATTTCCAGTGTCCCTGTGTGCCCACTCTCAGGCGGTGTTGCTTGTGGGGCTGGTCGGTGCGTCTGGGCTGTGGAAAGGCATGAAAGAGGAGGGGTCGAGTGCAAGCATTGCCATAGTCACCTTTGGTTGGGAGGGTCGGATACACGTCATGTTCATCGCGGCATCGTGGCTGGTTGCTGCTAGTAGAATGATTGTGAGAAATATATATTACGAAAGGAACGTCAGCTGTTTGTGCTCGTATTTGTCACCAGCTGACGCTCCACATGCGTACGTAGCTATTACGTGTCATTAGTTAGAGATAAAACAGCAGGCCTAAAATAACGAAAAGTGATCAGGGATAAAAGCACATAAACGCATGCACGCATACACAGTATACAACGTATAAACAGACAACCCCATCTCACAAAGAAGGATCCGGCAACGCGCTTACAACTTGTTGAATCCAGTCGTCTAACATCCACAGGTAACTCATGAAGGACATCGCTCGGCATGCAAAACACCGCTGTCCTGCCGCCGTGCGCACCGCCAGGGGGGGGGGGGGGGGCGCAGGTTATGGTCCATGCGGGTAGTTCGGTCACTGGTCTACGTGTCGGCGAATGTTTGAAGCAAACAGGCAAAACCTGCAGGCTCACCTCGTTCACAGGCTTTGTGCGCAGCAATGACAGTTTGTACTTCGCACATTTAGCGGGGCGTGGCAAAGTGCAGGTCATCCCGTGCGCGAGACACGTGGTCATACTTGCAGAGGCCAGTAACTTCCCTGGTAGCAAAGTTAACTACTTTAACCAGTCTGGCCCCGTTAAGGGCTGACCCCTGGCCATACACCGAAATGCAGTAACTTAGGCGCGAGATGACTGCAGGCAGCCCGATGGTCATCAGCACTCGTTGCGACAGAAAATGTCTCGGGTGGCGGAGACCGATCAGGACGCCGATGCGTTTTTTTTTTACATCACGGACGCATGTGTCCCAGCAAAGATGGCGGTCGAAAAGCACACCCAAGTTTTTTACGCTTTCTCGAACGGTCTCCCACCGGCCCGTGCGCTGACAGGGGAACGTTCGCAATTGTTCTGTATGGTGCAAAAGAGAATAATCTCGGCTTTGAACGTGTTGAGCCTGAGACCGTGGACATGGAATCACAATGCTATGTAGGACAGGGCGATTTCCATGCGTTAGGATGAGGGAAGAAAGGTTGCGTTTAGCATCGGATATGCGGGTTTGGACGAAATGCGGGACATGAGCGTCTAGCGCGTGCGGGCTGAGGACGTTGGCAAAGAGCGTTAAAAGAGAGTGCCAAGGGCTGATCCCTGGAAGACTCCCATGGTATTGGGGAGGGACTAGGACACCACAGTCACCAGAAGAAGAAGATATATAGACTGACTGAGAATGACTAGAAAGATAGGAGAACCAAGCCGGTCAGTGTTATAGAGCTGGAGCTTGAAAAGTAGCTGAGTATGAGGAATGAATTCGAAAAATGTGCTGAGATCCAAGAGGCACAGGAGTGAAAGACGGCCACGATCCATGTTGAAAAAGATGCGGTTGGCCATCGTAAGCAGAGCAGTCTCAGTGGAGTGATGGTGACGGAAACCATGCTGGGATGAGGACAGATGATTGTCGGACTTGAAGGTGAACATCTTACGCTGCACCTCACGCTCGACAATCTTGGCGATAAGAACGATGGAAATAGGACGATTATTGGGGACCAGGTTTGGATCGCCGGATTTGAAAGAAAGAGAAACCAGGCAATGCTACTAGGAATCGGGAAAATCGCAGGAGGTGGGGCAGGTGTTGATGGCATGGAGAACGATAGAGTCGATCACGTCAAAACAGAGGAATAGGATACGAATACAAACGCTATCGGGTCCACACGCCCTGGAACGCTTCTTGGAGAACATGGCCTCGTGCAGCCCGCCATGGGTCGTGCCGGTCGCTCGCAAACCGCATTCGCCCACGCTGGGCGGGTGACATGGGTCCTCAGGTGGCTGCCCGAGACCAGCCAGGCTGGCTGCAACACGGGGGCCGACATTGGCAAAACAAGCATTCGTCTCGTCCGGGGTCGCGGCTGGGGATTGCAAGCCCTGCTCCGTTTCCCCGCTAACAGCGGGCGGATGGACGCGGTACAGAAAACTGCTCTGCTCACGCCGCCTCTCCTCAATATCCGCCCGGCATTCACGCCTGGTCGCCGACCCCACCCTCCGGTCCAGTTTGCCGACCGGAGGGTGCTGTCCTGATGTAATTCACGATGGTCGTGTTAGTTTCGTGATTTAAACGGCAGACTGACGAGGCGGTCAGTAATGTATTCAGTATGTATAATGCGGTGTGCAGTAATGTATTATTCTTGATCTGAATACCTCACACATTAGCTTACTCTTGATTTAATACTGTAACGATAGCGCTGGAAGGAGATTCGCCACGCGTGGCTGCGCGCAGGCAGTTCTTCGCACAAAAAAGCGCGTGCAGTCGACGCCACCTCCGCTTTCTGTTTTCACGCGGAGATCGCGGTGGTCTCGTGATCCCGCGGGCTGAGGCGCTCGCTGCTAGGCGACGTGACTAGCACAGCAGCTCTAGCTGGGCTGGCCCGACCCAGCGCCGACCCGGCGGGCCGCTGCGCATGGCTCACGGCGCACCAGCTCAGGTGGCCGCCGTCTTGCAGACGAAGACCTTGGCCGGTGTGGTGTGGAATGGCTTGTGCTCGCACTCGCCGTCGTCCCACTGTCCGTTCGGCAGCAGGAAGACACAGTCAGAGTCGTTGAGGTTGTCCGGCTGGTGGGGCGCCCAGTTCGTGTAGTTGACCACGGAGGCGTCCGTCCAGCGGAACTGGCCCTCCTGGGCCAGGTCGTTGAACCCGATCCAGGCGTACTCGTGGCCGCTGGCGAACGTCTGCAGGAAGGCCTGCTCGTCGGCAGAGTGGATGGAGACGAGTGTGGACGTGGCCGAGACGGCGTTTGCGCAGCTGACCATGGCGTCGTGGTAGAAGACCTTGCGCGTGAAGAGTCGGTAGCAGTCGGTCCCCCATGAGGTCCAGCCGCTCGGGCAGTTCGCCGGGCTCGCGAGCGAGAGCGCGGAGAGCAGGCCGGCGACGAGGAGCCACATGGTGACGGTTGGTGTTGCTTCACCAGCGGTGCGGTGATGACTGCCGTGACCGCGGGGCCGTGAATGGTGCCGTCCGTTGGTGGATCGGTATCAATGGGAAAATGACATATGTGTGTTGTCAGTCCGGAAAAGGAGCGTCCGTGCGAACTGAAGCAGCTACGAGCTGTCTTGCTTGACGCAATCAGACGCTGTTGTCAGAGATGTTCGTGATGCACTCCTCCCTACGCTTTCATGATGTGGGAAGCCTCACATCGTAATGCAAAACCCATAGTGGCCTTCTCACAAATTTCCTCGACCGAGGTCTGACCGGGGGTCGAACGCCCTCGGTCCCATCCGCGGAAATCGATTTTAGCCATTTGTAAACAATGCTAAACTTACGCCCTTTGACGTCAGGCCACCGACATTGAATAATTAGACCTGAGGTGATGTGGTGATATCAAAAGAGCAGATAACGGCATCCGCGGTGGATTTGGATTTTGCCCTACAACGCTGCAGATGCGCTATTGGTCGCGCGGTTCCGCTCGCCAAGACGGATTGCATTAAAAAAGGAAAGCGTTCAGCACATTGGGCACCACCTGCCGGCATGACGCCCGCGCAGTAGCGCATTAACGGGATGATATGAAACAAGTACGTGACGGCGAACAGGCCTGATCGTGGGCTATTTTGCCGTGAGACGGCTCTAAAAGAGTAAGCTATCAGACACGTTTAATCTTGCTTGCAGAAACCAGTTTAAGCCATTTTTAATCATACCGAACTTCGTGCGTCATGTAACCACAGGAAATATGAATTGAATAATCCGACGTGAAGGGGTAATATGGAGCTTATAAACTCCCGGAAATGCAAGCTCTTTTCGGGTATCGTCCGAGTACTCTGAATATGTCTGATCAGATGCGCTCGGAATGAATTCTGGAGCGCAGTTTTAATTAATCTAGAGGGCTGTCGTAGACCGTGCCGTCATTGCTTCCAAGAATGTCGATCCTAGGGTCTCCTGCGTTGCTCAGATGGCTTTGAGCCAGCGAGCGGTTTCCTATGCAATTGAAAGGCCCTTAAAACTTGGGCAACAGCATTCCCCAAACAAAACAACAACAAAAAACTGAGAAAAATGCACCAGATCCGGGGAGAACCATGTTTGTTAGCATATTTTGGGGTAGCCTGTGCTATTTGTCATTGCTCAGCTCATCCCCCCCCCCCCCCCTTCAACCTGACTCATTTCGCGAAACTTCGCCCCTGCCTGGAGACAGTGATAGGGCTTGCTGCTGTCGGTCAAGGGCCCTTGGCACAAAACAAAACGATCTTTTTGGGTGCCGATCAGAACCGTGCAAGCCAGTAAGTCTATTGGCCAAACTGGGACAGGTGCAGGTACCCAGAATGTTAGTCAGAGGATCGCAGGGCCACTTTGGGCTCTTGAGACGATGAAGAAACTGACCTGGAGGCCAGTTCCTGGTTCTGATGTACTGGTGGGGCCACAAGTCACAGGCTCCTACTAGTGGCAGTGAGCAGAGAATCCCGATACAGAAAAAGCCCCAAGTCTTGCAGAGACGGCGAACAAGCGCCGTCAGTGAGAAGGCTTTAAGGAGATATTCTGCAATTACGTAAGTTGTTAAAAGCATTCGCGAGCAACATTATGCATGTAAATAAGACGGTAGTAATAGGCTTCTCCCTCGGAAAAGCAAGAGAATGGAGATGTGGACGCGTTATATTCATTTTCCTGGTTTTCTCCGAGGAATAAGGCTGTTACTTCCGTCTTATCTGAAATGTTCTGCGCTTGAAGATGTTTTAGCAATCATGAGATATGATGCAATAAGCTTACTTTTAACTGTTGGCATACTTTTAAGCGAAAAAGCCTGCCCTAGCAATATAATTTTTCCGTAAAGTACATATGCTCCTAAATAGGTCATTGTTTGATAACGCTGTCGTGCCTCGCACAACATTGATTGAGGGCCAATTGACGGCACTGATATCTAGAAACCGTGCTCACAAACGCCAAGTTTGAACGACTCGACAGGTATTCAGTTTTCATCGCCGCAGGGCTAATGGTCGCCACTTGGCTGAAATAACACTCTTTAAAGGAAGTGTTCCACATTTGTATGCGGTTTTGAACTGAAATAGCCATATTGGAGGTCATTTGGTGCAGATCACAGCCCTGCTCCTCTCAACAATCAAATCCCTCTAGTTTCTAAGCTACACGTCTGCGAAGACTTTCATGGAGACTGTTTCAAGGCCACCCAGGCATCCATGACGTCATAATAACGTCATCCGAATTCTGCCATTCAATGGCCATGCGGCGATCAAGACAAATAAAAATATAATTGGCAAATCGTGCACGTCTGAAATTCGTGAGCACGACTCCCAGATATAATGCCCGTCAACTGCTTCTCATTCAACATTGTCCAAGGTACGATAACGCAACAAAAATTACGTATTGAAGAGCACATTTGCGAAGTAAGGAACTGTGTCGACTAGAGCACTCTTTTCCAGCTTAAAGTATACCAATGGTTATAAGTTAACTTATTTCATCATCAATGATGTTTGCTTCAATATCTTCAGATGTGAAGCATTCCCTTTAAGGTACGGACTTCGGAACACACTCCCCGGGCCGGCAATGGAAGCCCATTGAAGCTGTTGACGTTTGAAGCTCTTCCGTCACAAGTTTTAACACTCGGCAGGTTATGTGTAAAGTTGATGTGGTGGGAGGTTAAGCGATGGAAGTTCTCGTATTAGAAGCAAAGTCGTGTAGCGGGTTTTCCGTTAGAAGTCTTGTCGCATGAAAGTAATGCCACGTAGAAGCTTTTATGTAAGTTTGGGGTTTGAGGTCGAGGGTGCATTCGCAGTTCACCAATAATATTCTGTTCTACGTGACGTCACGCATAATTTTTCCGGACGCGTTTGCAGAACGGCACGTTCTCTGCCTACATTTTCATTACTGTCGTGGCAATACATGCGCAAGCAAAGACACAATATTTTTGTTTGCATGTGCTGAGTTCTTCAAACAACGGGAACTGCAAATTGTGCTGTGTGTTACTTATAGCGTACCTGGCGGCACTTGCGGTCCGCGCTTGACACGCAAAATGATCTTTTTATTACTGAATTTGTTGCGCCATTCCTGTCGCACTTCGATCAAGTCGCAAAAACAGATTGTGTGTGTCCGGCAAAGGCTTCAATGGACGGCATGGATAAGTAGAGATGCGTCACCCGGGTCGCTACGAACACCAAACGACACAGAATCTATGGAGTATGACGTCACTCGTGACGTCTATCGCGTATATTCTCCGTCGTCTGGGTCGCTGTGAATGTACGCTTAGTCGTACAGAACTGTAGGCATGAAAAGTTCTTGCATTAAAAGTAATGTCACGTAGAAGCCTTTGAGTAGAAGCTCTGCCGTGCAGGAATAATGTTGCGGCTAAGTATTTGCTGTAGAAGTGAAGTGAAAATCAAGTCCTTAGCAGTAATGGCGTTAGAAGTGATGTCCGCGGAAATCAATTTGTCAGCAGCCATTGCGTTAGGAGTTTTGTCGTGGAGCTGTAGCGTTGCACGAGGTAGGCGCTTTAATCGACTTGTATTTATTCCATGTCTGGCGTTGCAACGGGTTGCGGTATTGAGCAAGTTTTCTAGTTTCGGGTGCTCCTGTCTTTATTCTTTTTTAGTCTTTCGAGTGCTCGTGAGGCCTTATGAGAAGGAAGCAGGTGGTTCTGGAGCTCTACGATGGTCTGTTTTGCTCTAAATCACTTTCAGCATCTGGTCCGGTTTGCGACGAATACTCCACGTAGTAGCGTGCTGCACCCCTTCCCTCCTTCCTGAACTATGTGCACCTGTGGCGCTGGCCCGTTCCTGGTGAGACACACAGGCAGCTGCACAACTCAGGAGTAAGGCTGAGGTGAGATAAGCACGTCACACTTGGAGGAGTTCATGCGAAGGGGAGCGGGTTCTTCTCGTGCTGCAGCTGTCTGACATGGGTCGTGCAATGTTGCGCCCTGCAGAGTCCCTCCCCTATCACTCCCGTCACCAGTTCTTAGGCTTCAAGCATTAGCTGATTTCAGCTCTGTAAGTTTAATTCGTCCAATCCTCCCCTATGCTGAGCTGCGATTGCTCCTACCAGTCTCCACAATCCACCGACTTTGATAACACTAAGCGGCAGGTGCCAGGTGACCGGAAACGAAGTCGTGGAATAATGGTTTCGTGAGTTCAAAATGAATTCGTGCCGTGCAAAAGATAAGACCGGGCGTATATTTTGCCCTCGCAATTTTAAGGCTGTCCTCTGAATAGATAAACAGTTACACCAACACGAAAATAGAGATTCCACCTTTGCTCTTGCAGCTCCACCACCAGATTCAGCGCGAGTTCGCAGTGCTGTGAATGTTAATCCGCTCCTAAAATCAATCTTAAGGTCGCACAGGTTAAAGACACGCTAGGATCGCATTCTTAACGTACGAATTGATGTCTTAAAACGTTCAGGGTCACTTCCTCAGTACTAGCAGTGAGATCGGGCCTGCGCGGCAAATGGAAAATGCAACGCCTGGCGTCGTTTTTAAAGACAAGTCATAGAAGTTCGCGAGCGTGAGTGTTCAAAACTATGCTACATGATTTGTTTGCTAATCGATTCTGGCTGAAGGTTAAACGCTCCCAGAAGGACATGAGCTGCTAATGTTAATATAAATTGCTGACCCCGTTTAGATCTAGGTAACGTTCATGGTGTCCATAATATCTTTGTAGAACTCAGGGCAAACTCTGACAAAGCCGCTAGTGTAAAATAAAAGCGCCGGCGGTTTATTACATGCAGTCATTTAGAGCGTTTTTCCTTCAGTTTATTGAATTCAAAATACAGACAGAATTGCGTGTTTCGATAGCTTCCTGACTTATGTTCCAGTAAAAAAGTTACAAATAAAGATGAAACGGAGAAAACATTTCCCCTCTAAGTCGTGTTGCCAAAATCAGGCTACCTTTTTGTGGGAGGAGGCTGTCACCATCAGGAGAATCTGTTAGCCCCATGTCTCGCCCTCCCT